TAAAATTCTGTGACGTTAGACTGGAATAGGAGATATCAGTATGAACTCATGGTTTTTTAATAGATAGGTGTGTGTATGCATGAGTATACACACATATATTTCCTAGCTCTGTCTTCTGGGAGGGCCTAGAAACAATGGCACTCCAGTAGCAATATGTACATCTAACACCAACATCTTGGTTTCTAAATACCATCCTCCAATAAAAGGAACCAAGGCTTCTTGGAGAAGTGATTGATTCCAGGGGTAGGGCAAGGAAAATACAAGATGAGCCTGGGGATTAGAAAGTTAAGATAGTGGGGGTGCCTGGGTGGTGCAGTTGGTTGAGTGTCCAACTCTTAGTTTCAGTTCAGGTTGTGATCTCAGGGTTGTGAGATCCAGCCCCACATTGGGCTCCACGCTCAGCATGGAGTCTGCTTAGGATTCTCTCTCCCTCTCCCTCGGCCCCTCCTCCTGTGTGTGCACTCGCTCATTCACTCACACATGTTCTCTCTCTCTCTCTCCCCCTCTAAAGTGAATAAATAAATCTTTTTTTAAAAAAAGTTAAGATAGTGCTCAAAAAAGAATGGAGACATACAAAAGGACACAGGAATCAACCTGAAGGAGCTCCCAATGGCCAAAATTAGGATAATTTGAACAATAAAAATAATGATGTTTTGGACTGTAACCCATAGAATAATATAAACATCCATGAGTTCATACCGATAAAAATAATTAAACAACTGAAGGAGAAGGGACAGTTCTTTCTCGCAGAATTCCAATTAACAAATGCAAAAATAAGGAAAATAGAAAATCATTGACTTGTTCATTAAAATGATAAGGAGCCATTGAGGCAAACTTTGTGCCTCTGGATCTCCTCTCTGGCTGCATTAAATAATCCCCAGTATTTAATTAAATAAAGCTGCTCATCTCTGTTCCTACAAATTCAGCTGGGGCAAAGGCCACTGCCACCCCTTCACAGATAGGGGGGTACAGATGCTTGGTGGTAGACCAGGAGCCCGAAGGGCCAAAATGGCTACAATACTACTCAGCACCATGCAAACCTCTCCTCACCCTGTTTAGGCCTTGGGATTTCTCGATTTCCTTTCTTTCCTTGAATTACCAGACCTTCTATGAGGTATCAAAACCTTAACTACACCTCAAGATCCAGCATGCTTCTCTAAGAGTCCCCAGTGTATCAGGATTCATTTGATTGCAAGTAACAGAAAACTGATCTCAAATCATCTGGAGCAAAAGGAGAATTTCCCGGCACATGTAACTGGAAAGTCCAGTGGTAACCTGGCTTCAGGCTCAGCAAGATCTAGGGACTCAAATGACACTTCTCTCTACAAAACTGACTCTGTTCACAGACAGGCTTCCCCTCACGGTGGCAAGAGGGCTGCCAACAGCTCTAAGTCAAAACCCTATACTCGCAGCTAATGCAGCAGAAAAGGCAGTGCTCTATGGGGGACACCCCCCAAAAGTCCTGGACCTCATGCTCACTGCCCAACACCGGCTCGGGCGCCCATCCCTGAATCAATCTCTAGGGCCACAGGAATGGACTCCACAGATAGCCTAAGTCATGTGCTCACTCTTGGAGCTGAGGGTGGGGTGAGCCTCACTCAAACCTCAGGGTGAGTACATGAGATATCGGTGCCTCCCCAAAGGAAGTTTTAGATGTTACTCCCCAAAATGTGAATGGCTCTTGAGCTGAAAAATTAACATATGTCCACAATACCAGAACCCCTCAGTCAGAATCAACTCAGCCCTGCCTCCCGGACGTCTGTACCAGCCATGACTTCTTTCTGCCTTGTGCACAGGCTGGTCCACACCTGTCGCCTCCAGTTATAAGCATCCTGGACACGAGGAGCCTGGTTCTTCAAAGCACTGGGGCCTCACCCCACCCCCTCAGCTGCCCAGCAAAGTGCCACTGAGCCCCTAGAAAACACTCCTTCGCTTTGGTTCCCGCCTCCTCCTGATGTGGATGGAGTTGAGTCACTGAGATACCAGCTGGCCGAGCACCAACCTTGAAAGTACTTCTCTAAGTCACTGTCTCTTGCTCTAGCATACTCCGGGACCTGGGGACGCTGGCTTGACAGGTGAGATAATTATGTTTTACCCTTCACTCATTCCTTTATCAGTCATGAAGACAAGAACAGATAAGTGTTCCAACTGAAGAACATACTCCTGCCGTATTTACTCCTGCTCTTCAGTGCCAGCCAGCTCCCCTTCCCAGGCACAACTCCCAGGGACCAGCCTCCACGCCTGTTACCTGTGCCAGCTACTGCGTGCTACCCTCCTGTCAAATACCAGGCTGCACTTCCCTTCCTGCATCCCCCAAAGCCGTCAGCTTCCCCGGGGGCTGTGGCCCCATTGCCTTTCAGATGACTTACCCGTGAGGGCCACTGTGGGCACGTCACCCATCCCCTGTGTGCTCTGCAGGGAGCTTGCCCCCCGTGGCCCGGCCTGCACCTCTGTGCAGAATGTCGCTCTGGTCGGCTCTAAGGCCCACAGCCCTGGTTAGATGGAGAAAGAGGGGCGGGGAACAGCAGCGGGTGGGCACCAAGTCTCAGAGCCCGGGGCTTTGAGATCTTCTGACACAAACTAACATTTCATTCATTCATTTGCTCAAAAAACCTTTACTCAGGACCAACTGTGTCCTGGGTACTGCCCTAGATGCTGCACACATGGAGACAAGGGTCTGTCCTCAGGGAGCACCCTTCCTGGTAGACATCTGACTGGTTTTGTTTTTAAAGATTTTATTTATTTATTTGACAGAGAGAGAGTACAAGCAGGGGGAGTAGCAGGCAGAGGGAGAGGGAGAATCAGGCCTCCCACTAAGTGGGGAGCCTGACATGGGGCTCCATCCCAAGGCCCTGGGATCATGACCTGAGCTGAAGGCAGACACTTAACCGACTGAGCCACCCAGGCGCCCCAACATCTGACTGACTTTTGATACCTGCTTCACATTTACACTTCACAACACACTGTCTCAGATCCTCAATATGTGGCAAGGCCAACTGTGGTCTACAGACAGGAAAATGGCAGCTCCAAAGGCTAAATGACCATCCCGAAGACAGAGCACAAATTCAGGTCTTCCACATACAAACCCTGCGCCCTTTCCAGGTCCCCTCCCAAGGAAGGAGCTAGCAGGGTGTAGCCTGAAACAGACATTAAGTCAACTCAGTCCTAGGCATCATCACTAGAGGTAGAAAATACAAAAAAGATGACCCAATCCCTGATCTAAAAGAATCTATAGGCTAAAGTGAGAGAAAGACATGTAACCAGTTATCATCTGTAAGGAATAAAGAAGACAGAGTGATTAAATTCAAATAGGAAGTGGGCGCCTGGGTGGCTCAGTTGGTTAAGCGACTGCCTTCGGCTCAGGTCATGATCCTGGAGTCCCGGGATCGAGTCCCACATCGGGCTCCCTGCTCGGCGGGGAGTCTGCTTCTCCCTCTGACCTTCCCCCCCTCATGCTCTCTGTCTCTCATTCTCTCTCTCTGAAATAAATAAATAAAATCTTTAAAAAAAAAAAAATTCAAATAGGAAGATATCTCTGGAAGGATACATAGAACATGATGATCACTTCCAGGCAGAAAAACTGGGTACCTGAGGAACAGGGAGAGGAGGATCATTTTGGATGTTCAAATGTTACATAGTCTGAATTGCATGCCATGTGAATCTATTTCCCATTAAACGATGCTTTAAGGATGCAATCGGCCTAGTTCTACAGGGTAAATGATCTGCTTTCTTCAACAAGCAAATAGCTCAAAAAAAGGATGGAAGGGAAATATTACAGATTTGAGAAGATTTTGGTTGATGTTTCCTAATGCAATATATGCACCTCGTTTGAACCCAGACTGTAATGCACCAACTTTAAAAAAACATTTTTGGGACCAGGGATATTTGAGTATAAACTAGCCATTAGAAGTTATTAAGGAAATACTGTTAATTTTGTTAGTTATGATTACGGTATTGAAGTTTTTTTAAGGTACTTATCTATTAGAGATACAGACTGAAGTATTTACAGATGAAATGATACAATGCCTGAGATTTGCTTTTAAATATTTGAGCAAAAATAAATGAATTAAAAGTGAATGAATGAATGAATGAATAAAGGGGTAAGTAGATGATACAAGACTGACAAAATGTTGATAATGTCTGTCGAACTGTCATCCAGTTCCATAAGGGTTCATTATACCATTCTCTCTTATAATGGTTGAAATTTCTATAATGAGAAGTTTAAATAAAAATTTTAAAATTAATTACCCCATCCACCAAGAATGAGTGAGAAGGAAAGCATCATGGAGGAGAGGTATTTGAGCTGAGGCCAGAAGGATGACTAGAAATTTTCTAAGGGGCCAAGGGCATTCCAGGCTGAGCAAAGACATACAGATCTATCACAAACCTCTCTCTGGAGGAAACAAAAGTATCTACATTTGACCCCAAACTCAACTTACAACCAAAAAAAAAAAAAAACAACCCTCTTGCTTGATGCCCCACCTCATCTAGTTGTAGCATCAAAATCAACTGACCTATCGCAAGTAAGGAAAGAGGGTGTGAGGTCGAAGCTCCACTCAGCAGCCTAGCAAGAAGCCCCAGTATAGCCTTGAGAGGACAGGAAAGCAATTAACCTCTTTCAATTGGGTTTTGCCTGACAAAGCACTTCGGAAGCCAACTGAGTTATCTCAGGAACAGAGCCTTCATCCCTCCTGAGTCATCCCAGACATCTTGTGCTCCCCCAGAAACACACACCAGCCTCCCCGACAGTGCCTTGTAGATTAATAACCTCAGTACCATGGGATCCAGCTTGACGTTGGCCCGGCAGCCTAGCCCATCAGCACAAAAACACCTCCAATGAGGAGAAGGCCCTCCCCTCCTTGCTCCCAAGCCCCCAGCCTCAATCCCCACACAGCCCCCTGCCCACCTCCAGCTGCATGCAGGAAGCTTGCTGGCTTTGCAGCTACTTCAGGACTTACCTAGTCCTGGCCTGGCTCAGATGGGCCCCCTGGGCTCCTTACCTTGGATCGAAGCTGCAAGTACTCCTCTGAACCATAGGGGACACTCCTCAGGGACGTGAGATAGTCATAACTGATGACAGCTGTCTGTGAACCAAGGAAAAGAAAGGCTCAGCACCTGGGCATCAAATATTGCTCCTCGGCCCCCGCCCTGCAGCTGCAGGCCCCTGACACAAGCCGTATGTCTAGAGAAGTAGACAACACCTCCCCTAAGATGCTCTGTCCCCCAGATCTTAGCCTGGCTAACTTCTTCCTGTCAATCAGGGCTCTGCACAAATGCCACCTTTGCAGAGAGCCCCCATCTAAGGTTGCCCCACCCACCAGCAACTCTCAATTATTTATCATAACAACATTATCATACCCAAAATTCCCTTGCTCACTTGTTTCCTTGTATGTGGACTATCTTCTCTTTGCTAGAATTTCAGCTCTGTATACACAGAGGCCTGTCCTTCCTGTTCATCACTGTACGCCCAGCACCTTTTTACTATGACAGGCACATAGGTAAATGCTCAGTAAAGACTAGTTGAATGAATGCTGTTGGATAAACTTATTATCATAAATAAACATCATTTTATATTTATGTTGCTCAGATAGCCTGAGTTTTGATTCTGGGTCCCTTGCCCAAAAGTCCAGGAGAAGTCCCCATATCCTTGGTGAATCAGAAAATTACAGGCTTCCAGATATCTCAGACATGGAGGAAGCTGGAGGATTACCCAGGCCAAACCTTCCTTTTTAGAACTGAGCCACTGAAGCTGCTAGAAGCTAAGGGGCTTCCAAGGCTAATACCCAGAGAAGTCTATTCCTTTGCCTACACCCCCAAAGCTTTACTCCATTCGACATAAATGTGTTAAACACCAACCACAAACAAGAGCTGGTCACTGAATAATGCACAAGGCCAATTAAGACCAGAGCCCTGACCTTTAAAGAAGGCACAGCCTAGTGACTGGTTTATAAAGCACTGGTAAATACCTTCCTCCCTCACCTCCAGCTACAGATGGCCCTTGAACAACACGGATTTGAACTGTGCAGGTCCACTTACACATGGGTTTGGTTTTCTTTTTGTTTTTTGTACAGTACTGTAAATGTATTTTCTCTTCCTTATCATTTTCTTTTTTTCTTTTTTTTTTATTTATTTGACAGAGAGAAAGAGCACAAGCAGGCAGAATACCAGGGAGAAGGAGAGGGAGAAACAGGCTCCCCGATGTGGGGCTCAATCCCAGGACCCTGGGATCATGACCTGAGCTGAAGGAGATGCTTAACAAACTGAGCCACCTAAGCGCCCCCCTTATGATTTTCTTAATAACATTTTCTTTTCTCTGGCTTACTTTATTGTAAGAATACAGTATATGAGACATATGACATACAAACAATGTATTAATCAACTGTTCATGTTATCTGTAAGGCTTCTGGTCAACAGTAGGCTATTAGTCGTGAAGGTTTTGGGGAGTCCAAAGTTGACTGCATGGATGTTGGCACCCTAACCCCCTTGTAGTTCAAGAGTCAACTGTATTCAAATCCCTAAGGTTCCATCAAAGCCTGCTTCCCCAAGGCCACTCATCCTGACTCCTAGCCTACAGGTCTCACTCCTGTATCTGAGGTCCCCTAGCAGTGGTCACCTGAGTCACACATCTTGACCCAATCTGTGGCTTTAGATTGATTGTTTTTTGACCCATTCATGTGAGCACTCCTCAATCATAAGCTCCTTCAAAGCTGGGTCGAGGTGGGACAGTTCATTTCTACCTCTCAAAGCATGTAAGACACTGCTGGGCCCCTAAAAGGTCCTGGGTAAACACTCGGCAATCATTTTATATCCCATGGCCTATTTATCTATTTGTCCATCTAGGTTCTATGACTAGCTCAGGAGAAGACTTCACAACACTGAGTATTAAGGAAACAATCAGACAACAACCCAAACAGACCGTGCATCAGAGTCTATCCACACCAAGGGAAAGAAAGGACAGGCTCATCCTGCAGCAGCCAAAGGAGGAAAGAGAGCATTGAGGCACGTGGCAATCTACCCACCAATCAGGCAGTTATATGTGCATGTCCGGGAGCGTTGCTCTCAGCAGCATGAAGAGGACACGATCACACAGGAAGGATGCTCCCAGGCCACGGGAGAAAACCTCTAATGGTGAAATATTTAACTCAGATCCTCTGTTAGTTTGGTGGTTGCAGGGGATCCTCAAAAATCCTCCCAGGCCCTGCTGCTCTGAGTATGAGCCCTGCCTCAGGAACCATGCACACTAGCTCACAGGAGAGAAACCAGGTTTCCTGATAGAATTTCATCAAAGCTGCAGAGTCCTTCCATAGGCATTGGCTGAGGAGTACCGGCCCAGGTCTGTCGCTAAAATACAATACAGAATCTAAAATGTAAGGGTTTCACAACAGAGACCATGTGCAAGCCCGTCCTGCTGGAGTTCAGTAGGACCGAGGTGGGCCATATGGAAATAGAGACACAGGAGGGCGCCCGGCAAAGCTTTGCACACATAAGGGTGTTACACGTGTATCTCCACGTCTGCGACATGTATGAACGTCTGCAGGTAATACTGCAGTCGATCTGCCACCTGGCGATGAGGAAAACCTACCGTGGCAACGGCTCTGCCCACCCTGACAGCGCCGAAGTCACTGGGATCCAAGTACTTGTTACTGTAGAGGTAGAAGCCCGAGGCAGCCAGAGCCGCGCTGGTCCACGAAGCAAGCTTGAGAGCCCTTCTGGCCATGTTCCCAGACCCTGCAGAGGGAAAGGAGACAACAAGGAATAGTTGAGTTCCGTAGTTAGTCGGACCAGGACCCAAATTCAGGCTCTGCCACTTAAATAGATTATATGACCTCGGGTCATTTTCCTACTGCAAAAGTTGTTGGAATAAAATGAGATCGTGGATATAAAATGCTTAGCGGAGTACCTGGCACAAGTCAACTCTCAGAGTCATTATTCCTTGCACAGTGCCAGGTACCGTTCGAGGCACTGGGGGGAGAGGGGACAAAGCAAAGTCCTTGCCCAGCGGTGCATACACTCTAGATGGGACGACAGATCCGCATCACACAGACATATTAGAATAGCAGCTGGCATTAAGTGCAGAGAAGAGAATCAAAGAGGGTAAGAGGAAGGATGATACACATGCAACAAAGATGCTCTTTTAGATAGGGAAAGTGGCAGAGCATGCTAATCCTCGTTACTTGTAACTATTACTTTACCACCATGCACACATAGGTGTCATTAGCCCTCCGGGCCCAGGTCAGAAGTGCTCAGGCCAAAAACGGCAGCTGGTCAGAATCATCCAGATAAGCTCTCCACGTCTGGCTGATTTCCAGAATATTTATTTCAGTTAGAGTAAACTGCCCCTTGTCTAGATCATTGGCTCCCTGAGGGCCCACACCATGACTGTTATTACGTTGTCCACCCACAGTCCGGCAGGGTACTTTGCGATTAGGGATTCAATGGCCCCCTGCTAATCTGTTTAACCAGATCCACTCCCAGTCAGTGGGATCAAGTGGGCTCAAGGCTCCCTGATGCCCTTCCCCACCCTACTTATAGTAGCTCAATCCACCAGGCGGACTGTTGGAGCTTTTGGGGGCCACTGTACCCAATAGGCTGTTTCCCCTTCAGTTTCTGGGAACTCCGTATCAGACTAAAATCCTTGACCACAGCTGCAGGAAGCAGGGGAAAAGTCCCATCCAGGAGAAGTGAATCACCAAGCCACCCACACGTGCAAACCCTGTAGAGACGCAGCAGGAAGATTCAGGTCATCCCTGTTTGCTTCTGCTCTGGACTCAGTCTGTGACCATCCCTTCCCTGCTCTGTGCCTCTGTTTCCCCTTTGTAGGAAACTATTGCTACACAGCCTTGTCTTCTTTTTCTTTAAAATCTATCTGGACTCATGCCTCACAGTATAGCCACAGATTTTTTTTAAGTATTCACAGGTACATCTTTTTTCCATTCTTCTACTTTGAGCTTAAATTTTATACTATTTCTCTAAACAACATATACTTGATTTTTATGTTTGCATTTAATATAACTTATGCATTTAGATTTAATTTTATTATCTTCTTCCATTTCAAAAATGCAGATTTCTTATACCACATTAACAAAATGAAGGATAAAAATCACATAATCATCTCAAAAAATGTAGAAAAAGCATTTGACAAAATTCCATACCCATTTATGATTGAAAACTCTCAACAAAGTAGGTATAGGGGAACATACCTCAACATAATAAAGACCATATATGACAAGCCCACAGCTAACAGCATACTCACTGCTGAAAGGTTTCCTCTAACATCAGGAATAGGACAAGGATGTCTACTCTCACCTCTTTTATTCAACATAGTACTGGAAGCCCTAGCCAGAGCAATAGGCAAGAAAAAGAAATAAAAGCCATCCAAATTGGGAAGGAAAAAGTAAAACTATCACTGTTTGCAGATGACATTTATATACAGAAAGCCCTGAACAATCCACCAAAAAACTGTTAGAATAAACAAATTCAGTAAAGTTGCAGGATACAAAATCAGCATACAAAAATCTGTTATGTTTCTATACATTAATAATGAATAATCAGAAGGAGAAATTAAGAAAACAATCCCATTTATAATTGCATCGAAAATAAAATACCTAAGAATAAATTTAACCAAGGAGGTGAAAGACCTACTGAAAATTATGAGACATTAATGAAAAAATTAAAGACACTAATAAACAGAAAGATATTCTGTGTTCACAGATAGGAAGAATATTGTTAAAATTTCCATATTACCCAAAGCAGTCTACAGATTCAATGGAATCCCTATCAAAATTCCAATGGCATTTTTCACAGAACTAGAACAAACTATCCTAAAATTTGTATGTAACCACAAAAGACCCAGAATAGTCAAAGCAATCTTGAGGAAGAAGAACAAAGCTGCAAGTATCATGGTCTCTGATTATATTACTATATTACAAAACTGTAGTAATCAAAACAGTATGGCAGTGGCATAAAAATAGACACATACATCAATGAAACCCAACAGAGTCCAGAAATAAACCCATGCACATATGGGCAATTAATTTACAACAAAGAGGCCAAGAATATACAATGGGGAAAGAACAGTCTTTTCAATAAATGGTGTTGGGAAAACCAGATGACTACATGCAAGAGAATGAAACTAGACCCTTATCTCATATCATACACAAAAACTAACTCAAAATGGGTTAAAGACTTGAACATAAGATTTGAAAACATAAAACTCCTAGAAGAAAACATAGGCAGTAATCTCCTTGACATAGGTCTCGGCAATGACTTTTTGAATATGACACCAACAGTGAAAGCAACAAAAGCAAAAATAAACAAATGGGACTACGTTAAACTAAAAAGTTCCCACAGAGCAAAGGAAACCATCAATAAAATGAAAAGGCAAACTACTAGATGGGAAAAAATATTTCTAAATCATACATCTGATAAGGGGTTAGTATCCAAGATATATAAAGAACTCACACAACACAATAGTTTTAAAAAAATATATTAAAATATGGGCAGAAGATCTGAATAAACATTTTCCAGGAAAGGCATATAAATGGGCAACAGGAACACCAAAAGATGCTCAACATCAGTACCCCTCAGGGAAATGCAAATTTAAACTATAATGAGATATCACTTCACACCTGCTAGAATGGCTCGTATCAAAAAGACAAGAAATAACCAGTGTTGGCAAGGATATGAAAAAAAGGGAAGCCTTGTGAACTGTTGACAGGAATGTAAATTGGTGCAGCCACTCAGGAAAACAGTATGGAGGGTCCTCAAAAACTTAAAAATAGGACTACCATATGATCCAACAATTCCACTTCTGGGTATTTATCCAAAGAAAACAAAAACACTAACTCAAAAAGATATATGCATTCACATGTTCACTGCAACATTATTTACAATAACCAAGATATGGAAACAACCTAAATGTCCATCAATGGATGAATGGATAAAGAAAATGTGATACATAGGTGAATATAATGGAATACAATTCAGCCATAAAAAAGAGTGAAATCTTGCCATTTGTGACACCATGGATTGGACCTGGAGGGTATTATGCTGAATGAAGTAAGTCAGAGAGAGAAAGACAAATACCATATGATCGCACTTGTATGTGGAACCTAAAAAACAAACAAAAACAAAAAACAAACTCACAGATACAAAGAACAGATTGGTGGGGGTGGGCAAAATGGGTGAAGGGGACCAATAGGTACAAACTTCTAGTTATAAAATAAATAAGTCATGGAGAAGTAATGTATGGCATGGATTATAATTAATAATATTTTATTAAATATTTGAAAGTTACTAAAAGTAAATCCTAAAAGTTCTCATCACAAGAAAAAAAATTTGTAACTATGTGTGGTGAGGGAGATTAGACTTACTGTAGTTAAATTTAGCAATGTATACAGAAATTGAGCCACTACATTGTATTCCTGAAACTAATATATGTCAATATACCTCCATTTAAATTTTTTTTAAAAAACACACAAAAATTATAGATTCTGAGGTCTACCTGTTGGCCCACTGAATTACCAACTTGGGGGGTGGGACTCAGGGACCTGCATTCTGATAACATAATGGGTGATTTTTATGCAAGCTAACGTTTGAGAACCATTCTTCTAAATATTTACTTTTTACTAAAGAGGCTGAATGTGTTCAAATCCATCAGTGAAACCATGCCCAAAAAACAAGCCTTCCAGTTTTATCATACCTACTCCCAACCCCAGGTATCTGTGATTGCCCCTCAAGAGTGACTGCAATTATTTTTAAAGAAATAATGTAAGAAACTCATTTGTTCCCCTAAACACAAATGCTCTGGCCCAGCTCCTGGGTTTAGTTCCTAACTCTGCAAGAAAGGGGTTTGTAAATAAAAAGAAATTAAAATCCTGCTTTGTAGAATGGACTTTATATTCTTTTTTTTTAGTATTCTCTTTATTTATGAAAACCCCCCTATCCCCACATCATTCTGCCAGCTTTTTTTTTTTTTCCTGCCAACATTTTAATAAGCCAAGAGTTCCTTCCAGACAAAAGACATGGTGGTTGAGAACATACACTCCAGCAGGCCTGGGTTTGAGCCCCTCTACTCACTTACCAACTGGGTAAGCAGGCAAATTACTAACTCTCTCTGACTCTTGTGACCTTGTCTATAAAATGGGGATGATGACAGCAGTGTCTACTAGATGGGGTGGTGAGGGACGAGGAAATCATGCAAAATGTATGGCTAGGTGCCACCTACACAGTAAGAACACAGTAGCAACTGCTATTACCACCACCACTCATCTCTTATTATTATAATTATTATTATGACTGCTATTAATTATTTCCTCTCCCAATGCCATGCTTTGGTAAAGGACCTTATTTCCTCCCTTGCCTGTCAACTTCTGGAGGACTTCTGCAGGCCTCACTTCTAACATCCTGGCAGGCCCCCACCTAACCCTATCTTTTCACTTTGCTCTCTATACCCTCAGCCATAGTGTTTTCTATCAAAAAGGGCAGCATGCTCGGTTCACCTTCCACCTTGTCCCACCAAGACAGAGGGTTCCCAACTGGACCTGGAAGCAGGCCTTACATTGGGCTGCGTGCCCTCAGCTCCTTATACATCTTCCTTCTCCAAGATCATCAGTGCAGGGGCGCCTGGGTGGCTCAGTCGTTAAGCATCTGCCTTCAGTTCAGGTCATGATCCCAGGGTCCTGGGATCGAGCCCCACATCGAGCCCCACATCGGGCTCCCCGCTCGGCAGGAAGCCTGCTTCTCCCTCTCCCACTCCCCCTGCTTGTGTTCCCTCTCTCGCTGTGTCTCTCTCTGTCAAATAAATAAATAAAATCTTAAAAAAAAAAAAAATCATCGGTGCAAGAAAGTCCATGAGAGGTGATCCAAGGACCTTCCCTGTGGGGCCTTCAGAGAAGCCCACATTAATAAGGTCATATGGAGCCACTGGTGGCCAGGACCTCAGCCTCTGGAGCCAGGAAGAATCCTGCTCTAATGCTCACCAGCTGTGTGACCTTGAGCAAGTCACAACCTCTTGGAGCCTCCCATGTAATTACCTACAAAAGGGAGTTCTTGACAGTACCTCAGTCCTAGGGTCACGGTGTTAAATGAGATGCTGCTTTAACATAATGCCTAACATATTCAGCAAATAAGACCTCTTTTCCTTACTGTTATTTTAAACTTCATTTCTTCTTCCCAGAAACACTGACGAGCTGATATAGAAGAACTCTTAGCACCTGGGAGACCAGGATTTGGCAAAACCTTGTACAATTAATAAAGCAGGGGAGGAAGGCCATCCTGTCTTGCCTGAACTGCCCAGCCGTTCCCCATTCCAAACCCATTTCCCCACATCCCATCCGACTTTGACTCTCCACCCAGGTCATTATCACCCCAACCTTCACGTGCACACATATTATCCCACATCCCCTCCACTGACGAAAATGTCCAAATTCTCTAGCAAGTCATTCAAGACCCACCCTACTCATCCCAACCCAAACTTGCCAGCTTCATCTCCCAAATACCTCTCCACACTCAAACCCCCCACCCCATCCCTCTCTGAAGCCTTCTGTGAGCCAACCACTTAGAATGAGTTGCTCCTTCCTATCTGGTCTTATTATGCACTGCTTTTTTCTCTAAGGATCTGGTCCTGTATCTGCCTCTTCTACTACATGCAAAGGGCAGAATTTGTTAACATATTACATAACTAATTAATAAGTCTGCTAACAAATACATGATTGAATGAGTAAAAGAGTGAATTTTTCCCCCCATCTATTCTCAACATGGAAACTTCAGCCCAATTATGTATTTCCCTGCTCTCAACTCTCTAATGGCTCCCACCTCACTCAGATGAAAACCCAAGGCATTGGCCTACATAGGGCAGGCCTAGACAATATATAAAGTGATGGGTGTGGCCAGAAGTGGCCCAGTGGCTATAGTTTGCCAAACCCGCCTTAGCATAGTAGGAGCCCCAAAAGCGTTTACTGAATAAATCAAGGGAGAAACTGTGCCCCATGAGGCCTGCGCTGAATCAGTAACAACACAGGTCCCCAGGTAAGAATCACCCCAGGGCTGTCAACTGGATGCCATCCTCCCCCAGGCACCCCCAGCACCACCTCCTAGCTCTTGCCTCTTTTAAATCCCATCTTCCTCATGCACCATCCTCCAGGCCTGTCCCTGTGGGCAAGGAGGCCACCCCTAGTCTTGAGATCACTTCCCCTGGGAGGGGAAGCCTCAGCCAAGCGGACACAATTCCCAAGACCCGGTTTTCATGCAAATGTCCTCAGTAATAAAAAAGGTGGAAATTGAAAAACATAAAATAGATGATATAGGAGCCAAAGTATGTCTAAATAGATTGGAGCTGGGGTTTTCCATAAGGTGTCAGTGAGTCTTTAACATGCAAATGAGTCGCTTCCCTCGGGGTATTTTAAAAGACCCTGTCAGCCGTGAAATATGTCTGTCGATGAAAAACACCTTTCATTATTAAACCCTTTGTTAATGAATCACCTGCCCTGTTCTGTTTACTTGTCTGACTTTCACCTGAGTTACCTCTCACAGAAGCACACACACTTTTGGGGAGGGGAAGGGAGCTTAAGGACACCAAGACCCTAAAACCTAAACGTCAGATAACAATATTAGCAACAACTAACCTTTACAAAGCCTTTGCACTCATTATCTCCTTAGAATCTCCACACAACCCAGGAAGATGAGACAGATATTATTATCATCCGCAGGCATATATAAGAAAAGGAAGGAGCAGAGGGGGTGAGAGATTCTTCCCAGGTGACTCAGCTAGTAAATGGCAGCATTAGAGCTTGAGCCTGTCTATAGCACATGACCTCCTTCACGGACTTGCAGAGCGGACTTGTTCACCACTGTTCTTACCACTGTTCACGGGTAACCATGTCAGTCACTGTGCACAGCGACTTTGATTTCTGACCCTCTATCAGGCCCAAACAATGGCGGCATGTAGAAGACACTGCCTGGAGCCCTGGAAATCAACATGGCAGAGTATCAACCAAAGCACCTCATCAGAAACAACCCATTCTAGTCTAGGAAACATTTAGGAGGGCTGTGTTATTGTCAGATCCATGAGAAGAATGGAATCCATCTTGCTGGACCATAAGGGAACACCCCAGCGGGTGATGAAACGAGGCGAAATGCAAGTGTGGAAAGTCCTACAAATGGGTAGTTGATGGTCAAATGAAACGTCCATCCCCTGGACATAACTAAATGGGGAACCAAGCACTTACTGTTTGTGGTGGGCCAATAAGTGGCTACGCCTATCAGTTACCACCCATCCGCAGCCCCCTCCCCATGCCACATCCCAGGACAAGATGCATGGAATCACCTTTCCCTGCTTGGTGCACAGGTGAGAATGGCCAGAGGAAAGGCAATTTGGGCTCTAATTCCATCAATCCCATAAGTGTCCACAGCCTCCTCCCATTTCCTAAATAGGCTCTTAGAGAAATTGAGCATTATTTCTTCTGGTCTGCTCCGCTCCTAAGACTGGAAAAGACCCAATAAGAGTGATCAGGTTTTCAGGGAAACCTGAAAATGTTTTGTGATGTGGTTAAAAAGCAAACAAGGTAGTTGATACCATCGTGTCTCAAGTCTGGAAAGATGCAGAGTCAATGCCCAGGGACCATATAGTTGGCCTGATCAGGTTTCTAACCTGCCCTACCACCAATGATGCTGTCCAAATGTAATCAAACTCCCTTTCCTAGGGTTCGACGCCCAGGAGGCGGCTGAATCAATATTGATTAAATAAAGGAATCCCTGGCTGATGCCAAGGTCCCAGAGCAGACAGAGAAAATAAATCTCACCCAGACAAGGAATAGAAATTCTCCATTCACTTCATCCTGGGAAAGTGGGGACTCAGGGCAAACAGTGGAAAACCAAACACAAAGAGCACGTGGCAGGTAAGAGATGGGTCACTGGAATCCCTGACACAAAAATCTAAACCCAGGAAATTTAGTGAGTGAGTTGGGGGCCAGGGGATTGAGCAGGGAGTGGGGGAATGGATGCCAGAACCAAGCACTATTTTTATCTTATAGGTCCCCTGTCTGACAAGAAAATGTATATATCAGGAAGGAATAAAATGCAAGCTCTCCCAGCAGAGGTCAAATCTTACATCTGTGAGGGCTGTTGAGAAATAGCCAAGTGTACACAGTAATATGCACATGTTTACCATCACTACAAAAAGTTAAACTGGCAAACAAGAACACAAAGGCCCATAACCCGGTGTGAAAAAAGAGCTGGTGCTTTAAGTTCACAGGACTTTTTTCCTATAAAGCAATAGTACTCAAAATATGTTCCGGACAGCATTTCTCTCTCTCCCAGGAGCATGTTAGAAATGCAAATTCTTGCTCCCCACCCCAGAGCTGGTGAATCATAAACTTTGAGGATGGGGTCCAGCATTCCGTATGCTAACAAGCCCTCCAGGTGATTCTAATGCAGTTTGAGAAGCTGTGCAATAAGAAAACGCTTAAAGAAAAAGGCACAGAGAAGTCTAATTCACTTTCAACTCGGCAAATATCTCTTGAGCACACACTAAGTGCCAATTATCATGGACGGGATCAATAAATACTTGAATTGCTTGACTTCCTACCTAGTGGGAAGTAAACGCCACTTAACCTGGGGACAGAGCTGTGCTGTCTCCCATAGGTTGCTCTCCATACACAGCTGTCCTCTGCACGTTTTTAGGGAGAACTGGAAGTGCAGGGCCCGGCAAGGTGCGGGAGATCCGGAGCGCTCTTGCGGCACGCCGCGAGTCCAGGCGGAGCGTAGGGGTTTCGTCTGCGCCCCCTGCTCTCGTCCAGACCACGCCCAGCCCCCCGCCGCCCGCGCCTCGGAGCCCGTAGACCGCCTAGGGAGAAGTCGCCTGGGTGAGCCACCTGATGCCCATGGTCCAGCTCCAGCCCTTCCTACGCGCGAGACCGCGCCACGCGAGCAGCCAGTCCGCGCTTCCGCCCACTGCTGAGCCGGGCTGGAGAGTCTCCGCAGAGGGGGCGGGGCCCTGCGGGTCACGTGGCCACGCACGGGCCCCGGTGACAAGGTCACAGGCCGGGGGTTCCCTCCCCACGGCCTGAGCGGAGGCCGGCGCCCGGCGCGTCTACACCGCCTCCCCCGCGCTCCACACGCGGTGCGGCCCCGGCGCGCCTGCCCTACTCACCGCAAGGGACGCAGGGACGTGGCGCCAGGTTCCACACCGCACGCGGGTGACGGGGTTCGCAGGGACTTTGCTTTCCGCCACCCACTGATTGCGCCTAATGAAGCGGAGGCGCCGCGCGGCCTGGCGGGACTTGTAGTCCGTGGTTCCCTAAGCCGCGGGCACTAGAGCCGCGGAGCCCGCGCTCCCCCTGGACCTCTCCATCTGAGTCAGAGAGGTCGAGACACCTTACCTGTCAGATAGCCTTGTTTCTTTGCCCGGCTGCGGACAGAGTCCTGAAATTTGTTTTCAATAGTCTTTCCGAAGGAGGCATGGATTCGTGTTCAGTGGAGGATGAAGTTGTCGGTTTGTGTATTTTAAATAAGGTATTAGAACAAGTAAGCGAGAAATACATTTACTGACAGTTGCCGAATGGTGAGAATGTGCTGATTAATCTTAGTTATCTCTGGCCCCCATTCGTTCATTCATTGATCTGTTTCGCATGTTTATAAGATGTACTTTAGAGACATTCATCAGACGTTCACTCATTTCACAAATATCTCTTGAGGTACTTCTTGAGGGAACAGAGTTGGGGGAAATTCATCTATCAATTCAATACAATTGCAATCAAATTTCCAACAGGATTTTTTCTGGACTGTCACAAGCTAATCTAAAATTTATATGCAAAGGGCGCCTGGGTGGCTCAGTCGTTAAGCGTCTGCCTTCGGCTCAGGTCATGATCCCAGTTTCCTGGGATCAAGTCTCACATCGGGCTCCCTGCTCGGTGGGATGCCTGCTTTTCCCTCTCCCACTCTCCCTGCTTGTGTTCCCTCTCTCGCTGTCTCTCTCTCTGTTAAAAAATAAATAAAATCTTTAAAAGATAAAATAAAATAAAATTTATATGCAAAAACAAAATGTAAAGCATTGCCAAAACACTCCTGAAGGGAGTAACTAACGTGTTTCAAAGACTTGGCCTTTCGTACATCAATATTTATTATAATGCTGTAAGACTTAAGGCCATTTGGTATTAGTATAAGGATAGGCAGAAGGGGGGAAAGAAATCAGCTTAGAGAACCCAGAAACAGATCCAGGCATATGTGGGATCTTGATATATGACTGAGCTGGCATTATAGATCAATGGGGAAAGACACATCATTCAGTATATGAGCTGCAGCAACTAGTTATCTGTTGGATCCCTCATTCACCCCCCAGACAAAAACTAATTCCAGGTAGATTAAAGACTTTCAAGGGAAAAAACAAAATCAGAAATTTTAAAAGAAAATAAGGGAAAACATCCTGTGATCTCAGGGTAAGGTTTATTAAATGACACAAGTACAAACTATATACAAAACTTTGATACATTTGGACTGCATTAAATTCAACAACTTCTCTTCATTGAAGGGCATAAAAAGACACGCCACAGACTAAGACAATTGATGCACAGAGACAGCAGTGGTGTAGAATTGCCTAATACAGCCCCCCTCCCCTGCCACTGTCTCAAGTTTATGGTGTATACGTGCTAAGATAGGAACATAAATAATTTTCAAGCAGTGTGAGAAGTGTGAGCTGGAGGTATGAACAAAGAGGTATAGGAACACAAAGAAGGGAACAGTAATTTTGCCCAGGAGATTCTGAAATGCTCCATAAACTAAGAACTGACTTGGAGGCTGGGCATTAAAGGTTGAATAGGGGCTCCCATGGAGATGGTTGTTCGCAACAACAACAACAAAAAATCATATAAAAAAGCATAAAGATGCAGTAAAAGACATAAAGGATATTTAAATTAAAATGGGAAGTTTAAAACCAGAGAGAAGACAGAACAAATATATTAAAAACTTAATATGGTTACTCTAATTGCACCCTAAGTTTAACTATGAAAATGTTACTAGCAAGCTAGCAGTTACCCTGCGGAATGGAAATAGGGGAAGGGGTGGTTAGAGAACTTTCAGTTTATACCCTGTGCCCTTTTATAATATTTGAATTTTTTTTACAATGAATGTGTGTATAACTTTTATAATTAAAATTTAATCATTTAAACACTTCTTAAATTTTAATTTTTAACCCTTCAAGTTCAACATGGTATGTCGAGTACACTCATTTAAATCCACTCCTTCCTAAAATCCCATGAAAAGGACAGGAAAGGAATAAAAAAAAAAGTCATAAAACCCAAAGGGAACAAATGAAGAGACAGCAGCAGATAGAAAAAAATCAAAAAATAAATGTGGGAGGCTCCAACGCAGATAGGCAAATGAGGCGCTTATAAACAAGCCCCAGAGGGCGCCTGGGTGGCTCAGTTGGTTAAGCGACTGCCTTCGGCTCAGGTCATGATCCTGGAGTGCCTGGATCGAGTCCCGCATCGGGCTCTCTGCTCGGCAGGGAGTCTGCTTCTCCCTCTGACCCTCCCCCCTCTCATGCTCTCTCTCTATCTCATTCTCTCTCTCAAATAAATAAATAAAATCTTTAAAAAAATAAAAAAATAAAAATAAATAAATAAATAAAAAATAAACAAGCCCCAGAAATTCTGACTTTAGAGTCTAGTCTGGGATCTGGACCTCCATAGTCCTTAGAAAGCTCCCTCAGTGATTTTAATGGGCAGCTTAGTGGAAAAGCTCTCTCAAGGAGGCAGTTCATGTAGTGAAAAGCTGGTGGATTGAAAGCAGTGGTTCTCAGGCAGGTGAGAATCACCTGGAGAGTTTTAACAGCCCTCCTGGGGAGTACCTGGCGGGCTCAGTGGGTTAAGTATCTGCCTTCAGTTCAGGTCATGATCTCAGGATCCTGGGATGGAGCCCTGTGTCTGGCTCCCCGCTCAGAGAGGGAGTCTGCTTGTTCCTCTGCCCCTCTCCCTGCATGTGCACAAACACACAGGTGGGCTCTCTCTTTCAAATAAATGAATAAAATCTTTATTTTTTTAAAAGATTTTTATTTATGTGACAGAGAGAGACACAGCGAGAGAGGGAACACAAGCAGGGGGAGTGGGAGAGGGAGAAACAGGCCTCCCGCTGAGCAGGGAGCCCAATGCGGGGCTCGATCCCAGGACCTTGGGACCATGACCTGAGCCAAAGAAGGCAGTCGCTTAAAGACTGAGCCACCCAGGCGCCCCTAAATAAAATCTTTAAAACAATAACAACAACAATCCTCTTGGGCTGCACCCTGGTGGGCAGGACTCAGGTGTGACTATTTTGTAGAGCTCCCCAGAGGGTTTCAATGCCTATGCAAGGTTAGACACCACTGATTTAGAGTCAAAGAGTCTTGTTTCAACTGTGTGACTTAAAGTTTTATGCAACTGATGAATCACTAAATTCTACCTCTGAGGGGCGCCTGGGTGGCTCAGTTGTTAAGCGTCTACCTTTGGCTCAGGTCATGGTCTCGGGTCCTGGGTCGAGCCCCACATCGGGCTCCCTGCTACGCGGGAAGCCTGCTTCTCCCTCTCCCACTCCCCCTGCTTGTGTTCCCTCTCTCGCTGTGTCTCTCTCTGTCAAATAAATAAATAAAATCTTTTTTAAAAATAAACAAACATATTCTACCTCTGAAACCAATAATACAGTATATGTTAATAAAAAATATTTATTTATTTATTTTTAAAAGCAAGTTTTCTAATTTGGCAAAGCTTGATCTTCCTTCTTGATTTACCAGTGATAAAATGGTAGTTTCCGTCTTGATAAAAGGTATTAACTATTATCTGTCCTACCTACCTCAGAGGTTCTTACGAGGATGAGGTGAGATGGGGTGTGTTTACCTGCCAAACTGGCTGCTACTAAGAGGCCCTCACACTTGCTGTTCCCCTATAATTTCAAAGGTCTGCTTCAACCCAGCAATCTGTCCTCTGTTCCAATGTCACCCCTCCAGAGAGGCCATCCCTGACTACTCTTATCTAACCACCACCACCCCACCACATTCCCTGAGACACACTCTATCCCCTTACACTGCTTTATTGTTATAGCACTCATCAGTACTTGAAATTATATTATTCGTTTGTTTAGATGGCTTTTATCCGTCTCCTCCACTAGACCGTAAGCTTCATGAGAGCAGGGATTTATATCCTCAGTGCCAAGAAAGGAGACAGACAAGAGAGAAGCAAAGAAACAACAGGATAGTTGCATAATGTAATAAACCCTGTAAAGGAAAGAAGCAGGGGTGTGTGATAAAGACTAACTAAACAGAGGCCCGAGACAGTGTTTGGATAGAGAAGTCAGGCAAGGCGTCTTTGAGGAAACTGCAACCTGATGGATGAACAAGCCAGCCATGGGGAAGTTGAGGAAGTATGCCCCAAGCAGAGGGAACAGCAAGTGCAAAGACCCATGGGGTAGGAAAGAGTCTGGCATGTTTGAGGAACAGAGAGGAGCCCCGTGTAACTGAGGCAGAAAGAATGGTGTGGGAGGAGGTAGGAGAGGCATGTAGGGGCCTGGGCACACAGGGCCTCAGAGCGCTCACTGGTTTGGATTTTAGTCCAAGTGCACTTGGAAGCCATTGAAGGGTTTTGTTGAGATGGGATGTGACCAAAGAAGCTACATAGAAAAAGCACTGAGCAACCAAAGCCACAGAGCAGCTAACTTATCTCAGAACCTGCCAAAGTCCCAGTTGAGTTTCTGAGGCAACAGGGCCGGGAGTTGGTAAGCTGAGTATTCAGAATGCTGTCCAAGAGAAGTGTTCATGCAGGATGCTGTGTGTCTTGTCCTCGAAGTGGACCATCTGGGAGGAAGCATCAGACAGCACCCAACCAGAGGAAAAGCAAGAGAATCCAAAGTGCAAGGTTCTTGCTTAAGGTAATGAGAAAAGATTACTGTGGAGGGAGTAATAAGGGAACTGTGTTCTTTGCAGAAGGGAAAAGCCTTAAGGCCTGTAGTAGAGGAAGCAGAAAATCTGTATTTGGTTCGCAGTATTCCAAAGGTGAGCAACGCCCTGCAGGAGTCACAGCCATAGAAGGAAGCGTGAGCTGGAGGGCTGGAGCTTGTGTTATTAATACCTGCCCAGGACAGAGTGTCGACCCAGACCCAGGACCAGAAGGTCAGTGTCCAGCTATCCCCAGAGGGCAGCTGAGCATTTCCCAGAGAATCTGCAGACCAATCCATATGCCATATGCATTTGTGTGCTAGGGTCTAAGAGCAGAGACTAAGATTGAAGAGAGAGCAAGGCCTGCTGGCTCTGAACACTTCTAGGTATCAATGACCATGAGATGGAAACCTGCTCAGCCTGCCCCATGGGATAGTCAGACTGGCCTGGACTTGATGGACGTCTAAAGGGATTTTTTTTAACACCTGGGAGGAAGTAAATCAATATGAGTAATCCGGAATTCATTTCCAACCCAGGAGCTGGAGTGACATGGAGAGCAGGTATTTCTTATCT